TGGAGGGATGGACACTGGGAAGAGGTAACTATGGGGAGGAAGTGGGAGGGGAGCTGTTGCATTGTAAATTTTGGTCAATGACATGAGACAAAGTATATTATGTGAACTGCTGTATGAAAAGTGAATTTACTCTGTAAATCTTCACCCAAATCAAAATAAAATTTAAAAAGAAAAAAAAAAACTCAGACAATAACAAGGGCTAGAGAGAATGTGGAAAATTAGATACCTTACACTTAAACCATGGTGCAGCCAGTTAGAAAACAGTTTGGTAGTTTCTCCAAATTTTAAACATAGTTATTATATGGCCCAGCCATTTCACTCCTAGGTAAATCCATGAGAGAAATGAAAACACACGTCCATCCAAAAACTTATACATTAATGTTTATATCAGACCCAATGGGGGTCTCTATGAGTCAGAATTGCCTCAATGGCATTGAGTTTGGTTTGGAGTTTGAGGGCTTTAACGTGCGGCTGTGGTGATGGGCATGGGGAGTGACTGATAATGGGTACAAGGTTTGTTTTAGGAATAATAAAAATAGTTTATAATTAGATTCGGTGATGGTTGCACAACTGTGTAAATATACTAAAAAATATTAAGTGGTATATTTTAAATTTTGTTGTATATAAATTTTATCTTGATAAAGATGTTTGAAAATAAGTAGAATGCAATAACTATGACTTCTTCCAAGTGGCCTCAATGTTCAGAATTTTTTGAATTAATGAAATAGTGAACAGTTGCACACTGAATTGATTTAATTATTTTTTATAAAATCTGAGGCCTCTAATTCAAGGAGTTTTAGGCTGGTATTGTACTTTTATTTACTAGCACTATGGTTCAACTTCATGCCACACCTGGGATTTATAACCAGCGAACAGTAAACTATCAGTATTTTAATTCCCAATAGAGACAAAAAAAAGTTTCACTAAATGGAGATTACTAAGTAATAGGGCTGGTAAGTGTCATGGACCAATAGCTACAGGTTGTCCTTCTTTAAGTTACACCACACAATCTTTCAGAAAAGACAGAAAGAAGGAGGAGAGGAAAGGAAGAAGGTAGGAAAACTATTTAAGAACAGAGAACTCATTCAGCCAATGAAATAAGAAATTATGCTTTCCTTTTATCATCCAAATCATAATGTAAATCATGTATATTATAATCAATAGTGTTAAGTGATCTTAGTTTTATAAAGTATATAGAAAATCGATTTGAAAAGACAAACAATACCTTCTGGAGGAGTCCCAATGCTACTGCCAAGCCCCAAAATAGCCATCTTGTGAGCTCTCGGATGCAGCATCACGGCAGACTCTTCTCCCCTTTCCCAGTGGGGTATTTTGACTGGCTCCAGGTGGACATTCTCCAGCCCTTCTTCCTGCAGGTTTTGGTACATGATTTGGATGGCTTTTTCTAGGCTTCTGGAGCCACTCAATCTGGGTCCAACAGCATCAACCAGAAGTGCCAACCGTTCATAGGATCTGTTCTGGGCTTCACCATAAACAGCAAGGTTGATGATGGCTTTAGCAGCATCTCCATAGCTGGCTATTTCTTCTTTGATTTCTTGAAAAGTCCTCTGAGAGGTGCCATTTCCATATATAGCTTTTCCAGAGCCCAAGGATAAAAGGTGGACAAGGCCAACAAATATGAACAGAAGGTATTTCATTTTTTTCTTTCCCATTGATTCTTCCTAAGATAATCAACACAAAAAAAGAAACATTCATGTTTTAAAACCAAAAAAAAAAAAAAGAAGAAAAACCAAACTCACTGCCATCGAGTTGATTCCAACTCATAGCCTCCCCCATAGGGTTTCTGAGGCTGTAAATCTTCTTTACGAAAGTAGGTCACCCCATCTTCCTTCCACAGAGCAGCTGGTGGGTTTGAACCGCTGACCTTCTGGTTAGCAGCCAAATGCCTTATCCACTACACCACCAGAGCTTCATGTTTTAGGGGAGGTGGAAATGCCACAGCCATCTTCCCACAGCACAGGGGTTCCTGTTCAGGCAGCAAGGACAGCTGTACTCCCCTTCCTGATGATTTCCCAACCTCCACCATCAAATTCAGTAGCCATAACTCCCAGGAATGGAGAAGTGAAGAGACAGCAGTTGGCCTTATTGAAGATACAGTATTTAGTAAAACCACAAAACCTCACATTATCTAGTAATTCTAGTAATTTAAAATATGCCAAAACATTCAATGAAAAAGAAGATTAGGAAGAGGTTGACAAGTAGTGATAGCTGTAGTGACAACTGTGGTAAAGTTGTTCTTGGGTGCCATCAAGCCAATTCTGACTCCAACAGAACTGCCCCATAGAGTTTTCCAGGCTGTGATCTTTAAAGGAGCAGATCGTCGGAGCTGCTTGGTAGGTATGAACTGCCACCCTTTGGTTGCAGTCAAGCACTTAACCGCTGTGCCAGCAGGGCTCCCTGTGGCAGTGTTAGACTGAAAAACGCAAACCTGTTGCCATCCACTCAATGCTAACTCATAGTAACCCTATAGGACAGAGTAGAAGTGCACCATATCGTTTCCAAGGCTATAAAACTTTACAGAAGCAGACTGCCTCATCTTTCACCTACAGAGCAGCTGGTGAGTTCAAACTACCAAACTTTTGCTTAGCAGCCATGTGCTTAACCACTGCACCACCAGGGCTCTTTGCAATAAGTTTAGGGTAGTCTGCTGCACTGCGCCCTTAAAAGTAGGTCTAAATGAGTTTCAGTGTCCCCACTGCCTGGTGTGCCCTTCCTCCCTCCTCTCTGCTGATCAAACCCGTCCTTTGAGGCCCTCTCAGATGCTGTCTTTTATAAATGGCTTTCCCTAAATCTCCTTCCACTGAAAGTAATTGTTTCTTCATCTGTGCCCCAAGAGTATCTTATGCTTAAGTCAAAAGATATTTATTGAATGCCTACACTATGCCCGGGACTGTGGTGGGTTATTAGAAGGAAGAAATCTAAGCTACTACAAAAAAGCAGAGAATAAATAATAAAAAGATTGAGCTTTCTTGCCATCTAACAGTGTGATTACGCATCACTTACATGATAATGATGATAACAATAATAGGGAACTTAGGAACCAGCTACTTGCTTGTTTATATAGTACACTTAATTGTGCTCATGAGGAACCTGTACATAGACCAGGAGGCTGTCGTTCAAACAGAACAAGGGAACACTGCATGGTTTAAAATCAAGAAGGGAGTGAGTCAGGGTTGTATCCTTTCAGCATACTCATTCAATCTGTAGGTTGAGCAAATAATCCAAGAAGCTGAATTATATGAAGAAGAACATGGAATCAGGATTGGAAGAAGGCTCATTAACAACCTGAGATATGCAGATGACACAATTTTGTTTGCTGAAAGTGAGGATGACTTGAAGCACTTACTGATGAAGATTGAAGACTATAGTTGGCAGTTAGGTTACACCTCAACATAAAGAAAACAAAAATCCTCACAACTGGACCAATAGGCAGCATCACAATAAATGGAGAAAAGATTAAAGTTGTCAAGGACTTCATATTATATGGTTCTACAATCAACACCAATGGAAGCAGCAGTCAAGACATCAGATGTTATACAGCATTGGGCAAATCTGCTGCAAAAGACTTCTTTCAAGTGCTGAAGAGCAAAGATACTTCCTTCAAGACTAAGATGCGCCTGATACAAGCCATGGTATTTTCTATCACTTCATATGCATGTCAGAGCTGGACAATGAAAAAGGAAGACCAAAGAAGAATGGAAGCTTTTGAGTTGTGGTGTTGGCGAAAAATGCTGAAAGTGCCATGGACTGCTAAAAGAACTAACAAATCTGTCCTGGAAGAAGTGCAGCCGGAATGTTCCTTGGAAGCGAGAATGGCCAGACTATCTCACCTACTTTGGTCATGTTGTAAGAAGTGATCATTCCCTGTTGAAGGATATCATCCTTGGTAAAGTGGAAGGTCGACAAAAGAGGGGAAGGCCCTCAATGAGATAGTGTGATAGTTGGAGCTGTGTGTCTATTTGGCTGGACCCCAGTTCTGTGTGGTTGTTCCCATGATGGGATCGGATGACTGCGTTCTGAGTGGCCAATCTGCCCAAGGGGAGTTTCCCTAGGGGTGTGGCCTGCTTCCAGGATATCCAGGGACATCCTGGGAAGAGAGAAATTCTTTGGTGAACTGGGACCCTGTTGTGCTGACTACAATCTTCAGTGAGTGAGCAGCCCACCGCTCAGCCTGGAGATCTTGGATTCATCTTTCGTTGGAGTCAACAACCAGTGTACTGCCTGCCAGCCTTGACTTTCTTGGCCCCCTGCACTTCCAGAAGCTAAGGCTGCTTCCAGCCCAACGTTTCCTCCAGGGACTTTGGACTTGCCGGCTTCTATACGTTTGTGAGCCATTTTCCTAAAATAAATATCTCTCTCTCTCTCTCTCTCTCTCTCTCTCTCTATATATATATATATATATATATATATATATATATATATATATATATATGCTTTGCTGGTTTTTGTGTTTCTCTAGAGAACCCAATCTAACACAGATGGATTGACACAGTGGGTGCAACGATGGGTGGAGGTATAGCAAGGATTGTGGGGCTGACATAGGGCCAGGCAGTGTTTCCTTCTGTTGTACATAGGGTCACTATGAGTCAGAGACAACTCAACAGCACCTAACAACAACAAGAATAACACGCTACCAGACCTTTTTCGAAGTATATTACATTCATTAACTCATTGAATCCCCACAATAACTCTGTGAGGTAGTTTTTCATTACAAGTAGTACCTGATTTATGATGTTTTCAAAATATAATGAACCACATTTCTGTTTGGTTGTTTGTACAGCTTATCATTAGCAATGTGTGCTATATGCAATGCTTCAGCATGTAAAAGGATCATTCAGACAAAAGCCCACTACCATTGAGTCTATTCTGACTCATAGCAACCCTATAGGACAGAGTAGCACTGCTCTATAGGGTTTCCAAGGCTGTAAATCTTTACAGAAGCAGACTGCTTCATCTTTCTCCCATGAAGCAGCTGGTGGGTTCAAATCGCCAACCTTGTGGTTAGCAGCCGAATGCTTTAAACCACTATGCTACCAGCACTCCTTCATACAGGCAACTTTCACTAATTTTCTGATATAGAAACACCATCCTCATTCCCAGAATTATCCAGATGATCCAGAACCTTCCACAAGTGGAGTTATTACAACTAAATGGTGTCATCCATTTGTTTTGTGGACATGTGTATTTTTATGCATGTATGTATTAAAAAATATTTGTAAGTTTATATATAAAGTTTCCAACCCCTAAGGACAAATAAAGAACAGATCAATAAAGATACTAATAATAAAAGTAAAAATGATGAAAACTCAAAAAAATGAGGTATTCAACTTACATCAGAACCGACTTGCCATGGAGTCGTCAGAACAAACCTCATCATAAAATCGAGTTCTACCTGTATTTTCTCCATTTTACAAAAAAGGAACCAAGAGATTAAGTAACTTGCCCAAAACACCCCAAGGCTTTCTTGCCCTAGAGCCTATGCTCTAAACCATGTTATTCAAACTATGGGTTATAGACCAATACTAGTTTGTAAACTGTTTTTTTCTAAACTAACGTGGACAAATACAGAGACTGAGAGTAAATATATCTAGCTCTATCCAATGCAATAGCCTCATGTGATTAATTGAATGAAATTTAAAATCAATTTCTCAGTCCCACCAGCCACATTTCAAATATTCAACTCTCACATGTTGCCAAGTAGCTACCATTTTGGGCAGCACAGGCATATCCATGATCACAGAATGTTCTATTGGACAGCACTGGTTTAGACAATGATTTTTAGACAATTGGCAGAATAACTGTACATCTATCAAATCTAATGATGATAAAAATGGTTATTCTTTTTGTGTGTCATTTCATTTTTTTTCTAATTCACTTTATTGTATTTTGAAAAAATACCAGTGTGCAACAAATTGGAAATTTAAAAATAATCCTTCCCCACTGATCATTTGAGAAGTGCCATAATGGCTAAGGTACTTGACTGCTAACCAGAAGGCTGGTGGTTCAAATCCACCAGCCACTCCTCAGAAGGAAGGCTGGGCAATCTACTTCAGTAGTGATCCCACCTTGGAAACCCAAGGAGGGGTTGCTATGAGTCGAGTCCACCTCAATGGCACATAACAACAACAACAAAATATTAAAAGGAGCTCTGGTAGCGTAGTGCCTAAGGCATTTGACTGGTAAGCGGAAGGCTGGTGGTTCAAACCCACCAGCCACTCCTCTGCAGGAAGACTGGGCAATCCACTTCTGTAGAGATACCACCTCAGAAACCTAAGGAGGGGTCACTATGAGTTGGGATTGACTAAAGATAAATTTCAAATTCAGCCTGGCATAAAAGACAAAATATGGCTCCAGCAACCACTTCAATTTCATTTCTCTTCCTCCACTTCTAGAGTACACACATGTTCTCATTCTCAGTCTGTCTCTCTCTCACACACACACACATATCCCTAAGCTTCTAGATAATGGACAGTTTAAATGTGGCTAGTCCAACTGAGATTGTTGTAAGTGTAAAATACACCTAATTTTGAAGACTCAGTATTTTTTTAAAAAAAATTATATATATTGGGTTAAAAAAAAACATGTTATTACTAATTTCACTTGGTTCTTTTCACTTTTTTAATGTTTAATGTTGTTGTTGTTAGGTGTTGTTGAGTCAACTCCGATTTATAG